GGGCGCTGGGCACCCCCTCCTCGGCCTCCCGCAGGAGTGGCGACCAGGCTGAGCCGCCGGCGGGTCTCGTGCCGGGACCTGGGCCGGGTGGACTGCGATGGCTGGCTCCTGAAGAAGAAGGACCACGTGGGCTTCATGGCCCAGAAGTGGAAGCGGTGCTGGTTTGTGCTGAAAGGCCACACGCTCTACTGGTACAACCATCCCAATGTGAGTGGAGCCCACCGGGTGACCTCGCTCCCGGGGCCAGACCCCGGGCGGCTGGGAGAGGAGCGTGGGGCCAGCCAGGCTCTCCAAGCCGGTGAGCAGTGGACGGTGGTGGACCTTGCTGTGTTTCCCCTGCAGGATGAGAAGGCCGTGGGTCTCATCAACGTGGCCACCTACGATCTGGAGAGCACACGGGAGCAGAAGAAGAAATAGTGAGTGGGTGTTGATGCCATCATCTTGGCTGTCTCGCCACAGACCTCCCCATGGCGGTGCGGGTGGGACGCTATCCGAAGGGCACGTGCCGGCAAATCCTGCTGGGTGCCCCCTGCCCGTCCCAGCACAGCGCTGGAGGGGGTCGCGGCTGTGCTGGCAGGACCGGCTATGCTGTGGCGTGGGATGTGCGTTGTGTTTCTGGTGGTATCTGGGATGTGGCCGACGGTAGTATCCAGAGCATCTCCGATGTCAGGGAAAAGCCTGACCCAAGCCTGCAGGCTGGATTGGGAGCAGGAAGGCTGCCAGCATGGGGGAGGCTAGATGGGGGCTTAGGGCTGCCTATGGTCGTGGGTGACCCTGGAGAAGCAGCAGTGAACACAGCTGCCCCCTCACCCTTCTTGCAGTGTTTTCCAGCTCTCCCACGAGAAGTACAAGCCCTTCATCTTCGCCGCAGAAACGCTGGCTGATCTGAGCATGTGAGTAATGCCCAGGCCGGTCCTGCCACAGACGCAGCCCAGAAACACAATCCCGTGGTTTGCAGTGGCTCAGGCCACAGCGGGGAGCGGGCTGGCTGTGACCATCCATACATCTGTCTTTTCCCAAGGTGGGTCAGTCACCTGATAACAGCCAAAACGAAGTACACGTTGGCCCACCAGTCGGTCCCGCACAGGGAGGAAGGTAAGTGCAGCCTTTTCCAGGACAGTCCAGGAGGTGGGAGAAGGGGTCGGTCCCCCCCAGGGGAGATGGGGAGCCTGCAGGGAGCTGTGGGGCTGCAAGGACCCAGGGTGTCCACATGGCAGCGATGCCTCATGGATGGGTTCCTGTGTGGGAGCACTAAGAGCTTTGCCCATGTCCTGAGGGAAAACCATGGGAACTGCCTCTCCCGGCAAGGAGAGGTTGAGGGGAGGGATGGGGTATGGGATGATGCTTAAGCTGGGAGGGCTGGAGGGGCAGCCTGGCCTCTGCCCCTCTGGGGGCACCAGGCCGTGGTTTCCTGCTGCCCTCCGGACTCACCATCCTCCCTCATTGCCTCCAGACTGCTACAGCGAGACCGAAGCTGAGGACCCAGATGACGACTCTCCCAGGCCCAGCTGTCACTCTGTAAGTGGCCCTGTGGGAAAGGGGACGTCCTGAGGAGGGGAGATCCTTGTCTCACCTCCTGCCCCATCTCTCCTCCAGCCAAAGAGGAGGTTGCAAAATGCCCCGGAGAAAGCCCAGCTCTTCCTGGCCACCGGCGAACCCAGCAGTGCAGTCAGCAGCCCCCACGGCAGCCACCAGTCCCACTTGCCCATGGGTAGGTGCTCGAAGTGCTCGGGGTGGTCTGTGCCCTGTGCTGGATGGAGCCCCATCTCCATTAACCAAGCTCATGGCCACCTTTTGTGTGCATGTGGTGGTGGGAGAGGTTAATCCAAGTCCTTGCAGGCCTGTTGGGACATATCTTAGGGTGTCTTCACCCTCATTTTGATCTATGGCCCAGTCTCCCCTTTGGATTTGGGATGCTCTTGGGACAGGGTTGCATGCAGGGCAACCCTGCGGGTGTTCAGGGCTGTTCGTATGCTGTGGTGCCCCCTCTCGCCACCTAGACTCTGAGGAGGAGGACCTCGAGAGCCTGATGCAGTGCCTGAAGCAGGGGGGAGTGTCCCTCATCGGGCGGCAGCGGTTTCTGACGGAGGAGCAGTACCGCAAATCCTTCATCAAGCGCAACAAGAACCCCCTCATCAACGAGAAGGTGCACCTGGTGCGGGCCCTGCAGAGCACACTCAAGGTGGGAGCCCCTGGTCCTCTCCGGCCCTTGCCCTGGGCTGTGCTCAGCATCCCCCAAACTCTCCTTTCCTCTCTGCAGGCAAAGCTCACGGAGCTGCAGGTCCTAGAGCAGCTGCTCAACGATGTCACGCTCACCTCAGAGAAGTTCACGTGCTGGAAGGAAGAGCACCAGGACCTGTACCAGGAGCTGCGGGAGTGGTGGGTGCGTCAGCAGGGCCAGGACTTTGATGCGGGGCTCGGTGCTGAGCCCAGGCCACCGCAGGAGGCGGCTGAACCATGACACCCCACAAGAGCTGCTGGTCCTTCGCTGGACCTCTCCAGCACAGATCTCTCCCATTAGAAAACACGGTGCTGCCGGAGCAAAGAGGATGCTCTGCCTGTCCTGGCTGGTCCCACGGCATGGGATGGGTGGTGGTGGTGGGGGGATTTACATCATTTTTGAAGGCAGAGATGTGAGCATGGACTTTCTGTGTGAGAAGTGGCTTCTGCTACATCTCCACACGTTGGAGCGGGACATCGCTGTGACAGCGCGGAGTCTCGCTTTCTTCAAGGACGCTTTGCCTTGGCTCCACATTGGCAACGAGGGCCTTTTCCTGGAGGAACGTGGCCCTGGTGCCCCCGACTCGCGGGCCAGCATGGTGCCTGCAGCTGGCCAGGCCTGGGTCCCTTCTGCTGTAAATAAAACTGCTGTAAATTGACGAGAGCTGATTATGTCTGGTTCTCTGCAAAATGTCCCTGTAGTGACAGCCAGCCCCTACCGGTGCCACATGCCACTTTCCTCCTGGGCCTGCGGCATCCCTCCATCCTCCACGTCCCACTCTGCTCTCCCATGGGGTGAGCCAGCCCTAGGGGGACATGGACAGGCTCTGACAGTGCCGCAGGAGGACGGGTGACGAAATGGGGAAGGTGGTGTCCAAGGAGGGGGATGCGGTGTCCCGGGCTTCATGGAGCTCGTAAGGGGCAGCGGGAGCTCGAGCGCTGGGTCTGGGTGCTGGGCAGGGAGAGCCGGGGTGGGACAGGCAGGACAGGGAAGGGGAGGGTTGTGATCAGCTTGGAAAGGATGGATGGGTCCTGCCCCTCCTCTGCACCCCCTTGCCCCTTACAGATGTGCCACAGCTGGATGCGTGGATGCCTTTTATTAAGCCTGCACACCCGTTCAGCTGCTGCAGCAGGAGGTGAAACCCGTGTAAGGATTAAAGCACACGCAAGTAACCGCCAAGAAAGCGTTGACACCAGCTGGCTTCCAAGGGAAAAATTATCAGTAAAGACGGGGCACGGACCCACCTCTTCCAGCCCGAGCGCTCCGGCGCAGGACGGAGGGCTGCGGGGGGGCCGAGGCGTCGCGATCGCCCCTCGGAGAGCCCCGCCACCCCTGCGGGACTGGCGCCGGCGCCTCAATAATCCCCCTC